ATTTTAATTGATAAATAGAGACAATAAATGACTGAAACCCAGGAATGAATTTTTATTTGGAATTGAAACACAGTCAGGAAAGTATATACAATTATTCTTAGAGGAAGAGGTTTGCTAAATGAGAATTCCCAAGGACGTCGCTACGAACATGCAAGATGTTGAAGTTTTGTGAAGTGAAAAACACTGTAAATTTGAAGATTTTTTAATCTCTTGCCATCCAGTCAGGGTAGTTCCCGAAAGGCTCGGCGCAAAAAACGCGTTGAAAGGTGTTTAATGTCGAAGCTGTGCCGCTCCCTTCCGGAACAACGCTGGTTTTGACGCAAAAAGTATGTAAAACGCAAAAAAATGAAAAGGCGATGGATAATTGGCCGTTGTTTTTGGGCCAATTTAGCTGCAACCACCCTGTACATGTTTGCATATTTGGTCCCGATAAATGCATTCGGAAAATCAAAAGTTCCGTTCTTTTGCTTGTGAGTGAATCAATCGTTTCACTTGACAACAGTTTCCGCGCAAACACACAAAGCTGGTGAAATTAAGACAATTCTTGAGAAACACTGTAAGAAAGTTGTAGTCATGTGAAACAACTGAAACAGTTTCTGGTCTGCGCGTTAGCGGCAGTTTCTAAGAACACTTTACGACTCTAGGAAAACCATCTAGCACAATAGTGGAGGCACAAAAACAGCAATTTGCCAGATCAAAATGAGCGTGCGAGCTGAATGGTTGTTTTTGTGCGCAAAGATGTGCGAAAAACTAACATTAAGCAGTTTACTGAGCTAGCACAAAGACACTCTAACACGAACACAAGACACGAGCAAGCACCATCAAAATGATTAACCTGATAATCGTCATGGTTGTTGAAGAAACCTGGATTGCCCGGTAAATTAAGCTGATGTAATCGAAAACAAATAAAAACCAATTTAATGTCATTGAGCGTATTCACTTGACTGGCAGCAATAGCAATGGAAAGATCTGACCGAAAGCCGTTTGGCTGGCACGTAAAGAAATCTGTGTTTCAAGCCCATTGCTATTGCTCATCTTTGTTTAGGCACTTTCATTTTGTTTCGAGGTGATTGTGTTCGTTTTCAGTGTGCGTCCTTCCATCGTTCACGAGAAAAACTCAACTAAAGAACGGAACAAAGCTTCAAATTGCTGATTAATGAATTTCGGCTCAAGTCTAGCTATGGTGCTACGTAGCTGAGGAAACTCGCTAAGTTAGCCGGCTAATTGAACGTGTCCATGCCTTTAAAAAGTCCGCATTATCCGAATGGGCAATCGAGAACTAAAGAGAAAACAGAATAAATAAGAGCAAGAGGAAAAATACGACCATGAAATATGGCTTGCAACATCATGCATGGGGTCTTAGAAATGTTAAACTGAACTCTTCAAGAGCGTTAATGCGCCAATTGCTGTTGGAACTGGTTAGGCCTGGGTAACACAGTGGATTTTCAGGTGTTCACACTGCGACACCGACACGGCTTGCCGTATTGATACAGCAACACAGCGCGACACACTTTTTATATGTTGGGAAATAGAAATCGAAAACGCTGTGGTGTCTAGTGGTTCGTAAGTTTGCTAGCGGTGCTTTTAAGCGGCGCAGCGCGTTTAAAGTTATTTCTTTGGTTTTACCTACTGAAGAGAGACTCTGGCAGACGTCGATTGCGCTGCGACTGACAAAATCATTTAAGTTAGTTTTTTGGCCTTCTTCGCCGACTGATTTCAGAGTTCCCGATCTTTAGCCGACGGTTTCTTCCTTGTTATTTGACCCAAACACTTTATAAATGCACATTTGTGATCTTTTGTGTCTAAAGGAATTGATTGAGCTCAAAAAACACGCATGTGAAATTTTTATTTTTGGTCGAAATTTGTCCAAGGGTGGAGGTCGATTTTTTTTTTAATTTAAGTTTTCTCAAAAGGTCTGAAATTTTACATCCTTTTCAGCGCACGGTCACGGGGAATGCATCGTACTCATTGAAAAAGATGCTAGAAGTTTCAGATCCGAAATAATAGACATTTTGGACACATTTAGCGTTTTTGAGCGTTCACGATCTTTAACCGGCGATTTCTTCCTTATTATTGACCCAAACACTTTATAACTGCATATTTCTGATCTTCTTACGTCGAAAGGAATCGATTGGGCTCAAAAAACACGCATGTGAAATTTTGTTTTTGGTCGACATTTTTCCAAGGGCGGGGGTCGATTTTTCGAAAAAATGAAAATGTTCTCAAAATGTCCTAAATTTTACATCATTTTCAGCGCACGGACGCGAGGAGTGCATCCGACTCATTGAGAAACATGCTAGAAGTTTCAGATCCGAGAAAATTTACATTTTCGGCAGATTTTAAACGTTTTTTGTGCGTTCACGATCTTCAACCGACGATTTCTTCCTTATTATTGACCCAAACGCTTTAAAAATGCATATTTGTGACCTTCTTACGTCGAAAGGAATCGATTGAGCTCAAAAAACCCGCATGTGAAATTTTGATTTTTGGTCGAAATTTTTCTAAGGGTGGGGGTCGATTTTTTGAAAAAATGAAAATTTTCTCAAAATCTCTTAAATTTTACATCATTTTCAGCGCACGGATGCGAGGAATGCATCGAACTCATTGAGAAACATGCCAGAAGTTTCAGATCTGAAATAGGAGACATTTTCGACATATTGTAAGCGTTTTTTGAGAGTTCACGATCTTTAACCGGCGATTTATTCCTTATTATTGACCCAAACACTTAAAAAATAAACACATAAATGCATATTGGTGACCTTCTGGCGTGGAAAGGAATCGATGGAGCTCAAAAAACCCGCATGTAAAATTTTTATTTTTGCTCGATTTTTTTCCAAATGTGCCAGGTGTCGCGGCACATGGACACACAGCGCGGCATTAACACACAGGTGTCTTAAGACACAGTATTACCCAGGCCTAGAACCGATTGAGATTAGTGTTGGTTAGTTACTAGTGCTTGCTAGTTACTAGTGCCTTCTGGGGAATTTCACGAAATTGAATTTGGACGTACAAATGCCATCGCCAAGTTTGATTCTTGGATGCTAAGCATTTTTAGCTAAAAAGCTTAACGGAAGACTTTGTAGCACTCGTTTAATGCAGATGGCTTGTTTTGAAGTAGGTACTCAAACCGACCAAGCACTAGTGTGGACACATCAAAGTAAATTTGCAAATTTCAAACTATTACCGAAAGAAAATATCCAATTTATGGTCATCGTGGCAAAGTGACGCTTTGCTTATTCAATTTGCGTACGTTAATGAGTCGATGCAGCGCCTGCGGACTTAACTGTCCAGGCAACAGGCCGCCGTTTTGCTCGTCGCAAGGAATTGTCACTCTTTGCGGCAACGTGATATTGAACTAAACAAAAACAGTTGGAGGCAACCAAAACGGATAAATAGATTGGTAGAGAGAGAGAGTGGCAAGAACACCCAAAAAGAGGAGGAAAGTGGCTCCAAAGTGTGCCATTCCGTCCGCACTTTGGAGCGAAGTGTTTGCAATCAGTCAAAGTGTAACAGAGCCAAATCCAGATGAGGTTGCAGGAAAAGACTCACCTTAGTGGCGCATTCAAAACATACAGTAACAACCTTAGATATCACGTTCATGAGATTCTTGGTCTCCTGGATGACGTTGTCCACTTTGGTGAAAGTGGCCGCCTTTCCCACCGTGTGGTCCTTGACGGTGAACTGCAGCCTTTGCACAAAAGTCGGCACCTTATCCAGATTCTCCAGAAGCTCCTTCTTTTGCGCACCGCCAGGTACCTAAAGCAGCCCGGATAATAGAGCTCGCATGGCCCCAACTTGCGCTCAAACACTACCTGGTAGCTAAATTGCCTGATCACTTTATACAACCTGTTGGCTTCCTCAGCAAAGTATTCCGCTTGCGTGAAGAGATCTTGGGTGGTTTTCAACGGGCCTTCCCCCTTGGTGAACTGGTACATGGAGAAGGCCATGGAAGACATGTTTTTCGCTCTTTTCACTATATCATTGTTCTCCTGCAAAACACCTGAATAGCAGAGGATGGGCGATCGGTTCAAACCACTCACATCCATTTGGGTGCTGTTGTTCTCCTGCCACTTTTCCGTCTCGGCCTCCATCTCGCTGGTGGCCAGCTTCATTTCCAGGCCCGACTTGGCAATCTTTTCCTGCTCCTCCGTGTCCAACCTCACCGCCTTTAGGGGTTTCGTTGTGGTGCCGTGTTTCTAAACCAAGTTCAAGTGTCCAGTTTGTTGAAAATGAGTTAAAGTTAGGTACAATTAATAACATGCAGCGACCAGTTGGCAAATGTGGTCGAGGTGCCAACTTTAAGAAAAAATAACATTTTAATTACGACAAGATTGGCAATGAATAAATGGGGGCGTAGTGGTGATCGGGTTGCTTGAGTCTCTCCGAATTTCTAGTATTTCCTTTTTTTAACTTGAATAACGCTTCAAATTCAGGACTTTCAGCTGGATGGCCCATAAATTAGGTCAAAAAACACTTACAAACTTTTGAAATTCTCTTTCTAGAACCGCTTATTTCTTCTCCTTCTTCTTAGCGTGCCTTATCCGTCGCGGACATTGGCTATCAACATGGCAATTTTAATTTTATTGACGGCGTTTCTAAATAGTCATGAGTGTCTTCTCCTTCCTGGTCCTCTTTCACTGTTGATCCTTCCTTGAGCTATTAACTGGAGTAGACGATATTTTTGATGTCTCATTATGTGTCCGAGGTATTACAGTTTCCTCTTTTAACTGTGAGTGTAATTTCTCTCTCTTTCCCAATTCGCTGCAGCACCTCTTTATTGGTTATGTGGTCAGTCCACGAGATTCTGAGGATACGGCTGTATATCCATATTTCAAAGGCGTTTAATTTTTTCATTATGGCTTCCGTCGTTGTCCATGCTTCTGCTCCGTAGAGCAGAATTGGGAACACATAGAAAAAAAAACACAACATACACTTGCTTGTGAATACATCCTTCATGTTGAACGATGCTCGAGCTCTTTCAATCCTTGATCGGATCTCGGTGGTACTTGTATGACTCCACACGTTTGATCGTCTGGTCGATTATAGTAATGCGCTCATTGTGTGTCTGATCTTTGCTCACCACCATCCACTTTGTTTTTGATATATTTAGGCTAAGACCGTGG